CCCGGTACATTTATAGAAAATAACTTTTCCAGTCCCTGCATGAATCTGCATTCAAACCTACTGGATATACAACTTTGATCCAACTACCCTAGGGAAGCTTAGAATTCCATAAAAATCAAAAGCAACTTGATTGATCTCCACGCCATTGGGCATGTTGATATATTGATTTTTTATTCTTGCTATAACTCGTGTTACCTGATGAACAATTCGACATACAGTAGATTTATGTATATTCATACTGTCTCCTGAATTTTTTTGGTATGCGCCAGTTGCGGACTATATGAGCGTAATCAGTAATTCATTCATTCAGTGGTTCATAACTTATCGACATATTCCTTCTGGTCAAAGACTCGATATGATTTTCAAACATGGAACAATTTATACAATAGAACATGTAACATGAAAATTTGCCTTTTCATATTCCACGGTGTGAATTCTGAAAATAGTGATGGGGAAGCTTTGTAGAGATGCACTGCGTAACTCAATGATTTCTTTTCTAGGTTTTGAGGTACTTTACATAATTCCATCTTGTTAAATGTTTTCATTTTCAATGTCCATGACTGGATGACAGTTAGGTTATTTTAGTCCACTTCTTAACAATTCTTACACATGTGTCAGATGCCCATGAATATTGTTGTTTCCTTCATAGTATCTTGCCAGTAGAAGACTGTTTGTCGCCTTTAGTGACAGTTGCCTGTAATGGTGCAGGGATATTCACAATTTTGTATCGACTGGTGTATCGACTATCGATGTCATGATCGATATTTAATATTTCTTTCAAGTTGCATCCCTGAATCTGACTTGAATCATATTATTTGGGTGGCTAGATTGACACTGCGCAGAGACGGAATTTGGATTGTATTATTTTTTTGCAATAGATCAAAAGTGCTCTGATTGACGGAAACTTGTTATTTGAGCAATTTCCGTTTATTCATCCTTCTTGTTGATTCCTTCTCTTGCGAAAAGGTTTCATATGCTGAATCCAAAATGAGGCCCTTTTTGATTTTGGCTCTTGTGCGATCAAGTCAGGTGGTGAACACCTACTTTCGTGTTAGGCCTTTCCGATAGGAAGGTAAGAAATATTAAATCTCATTTTGTGTGAATGATATTCGATGGGGTATCTACATTTCAGATATCACGGCCTCATACAGGGGAGCAGGGGGTACAGACTAAGTGGATGATTTGAACTCCATTTTCTTTTGACCACATGCTATGTTTCTGGACTTGCATTTTATCAATCAACACTGTTAAATGGATGGATCACTAAATATCGAATCTCATCAACTATGGGCATTTAGAAATCTTGAACTGTTTTCTGGACTTCACTGTTTGGACATCACTTGGACACTTTTTTCGATGGTTGAGGCACCTGAGGGGGATCTTCGTGCTTTGAAGCCTGAGTCACCAACACACTTGAAGGAGGAAGCTAGACCCTGGTGATTCCTTGTGTATGTCTATGGGCATCTATAGGACCCGACAGCCTGGAATTTCTGGCAGAATCCTTGCTGCCAACAGTGCAAGTCCCTAGTAGCCTTCTGGTTCAGATAGCCAGTGATCCTGACTTCTGACAGGAAGTCCAGGGGAATCCAGACTCCCGGTATGGTTGATTGATCCTTAATCCCTAGGATTTTGTTACTTTGGAGCCTGAACTCCCAGAGCCCAGTCAGATAGTGAGACGTCCTGGTCCAGCTTGGATGGTAGGAAGAGCTTGCCCTGGTGGCAGCCTGTGGACCCGTCAGCCAGAGTTGCAGTGCAGAATCCAGTTGCCCTGGGATAGACCAAGTGCCCAGGTCTCCAGGTGGTTGTAACTCCTGTAAACTGTGTGGGGATCCAGTTTTCCTAGCACACCTAACCCCTAACGCCAACTGAGGGAGGAGTGTCTTTGTTTCATCCAGGTAGTGAGATCTAGTGGACCACAGTTGGAATCTCATGGTTCAAAATCCAGAACTTGCAGCTAAGGTCAGAATTTTCCATATATATTTTTTCCCTGTCTTGAGGACATTTCACTTGCATATTTTTTTCCTGTCTGAGGACATTTAGCATACTTTTTTCCCTGTCTTGAGGACATTTCACTTGCATATTTTTTCCCTGTCTGAGGACATTTAACATGTACTTTTTTTCCCTGTCTTGAAGACATTTAACATACATATTTTTTCACTGTCTGAGGACATTTAATCTACTTTTTTTTTCCCTGTCTGAGGACATTCAAATAGTTATTTTTCACTGTCTAATGTCATGAGATATTTAAACACTTGTAGCTAACATATAACAGTCTAAGATCGGATTTAACATTTAATAGAATTATTGGGTCTGTTAGAGACTCTGTGAACCCAAAATATAGGCCTATATGAAGGGAAATCTACCCTTGTACTGAGTATAATCATAGAACATATTTTCCACCATTTTGAATACCTATTGTTGGCATGTTAAGGTGAATAAATCAGTTAACAGTTATTTTGGCTTATATTTATATCTTGGATTTTTTTCTCAGTAATTCAGCTGTGAAAACTGAGTGGTGCCTGACAAAAGGATAACCCCACTAGTGAACAATAAAAAGAACTAACCCACGACCTGCTCCCAAACAAGCGAGCTGCCGTGCCTATAACAAATCAAAATCTCTTTCTTTTCCAAAACATCAAAAGAGTTGTTATAAACAATAATAGAAATCATTGTCATCATAAGTACATTTCGAATGGATTGTTTTTATTTCGAAAGGTTTTTGGGCTGGGAATCAGTAGTTCTTCTTCAGATAGTGGAGGCAATGATGAGATAGATATTTTTTGTAATACAATAGTCATCTACTCACATTATTGTGTTCGTTTACCTACCCTACCTTTTTGACATGAAACAAGGACTAAAAACTCCAACGTCTCTTTCAAATTCTGGATTAGTTGATTTTTAAGCTGTAAACAAAAATCAAGATAGTACAAACCAGTACTGACACTTTCCGTCAATTTCAGCTTCACGCTGCGAGGTCCTCTGAGTGGTGACGTTTCTACAAGTACCCTGCTTGGATGAACCAACTTCTTGGCTACTCTTTTTCTTCTTCTTCTCAGATTCAACAATGTGTGAAATGCTTGCAGTAAATTGTTACGACTCATTGAACTCACGAAATTTTTGAAGGAAACAAGTATTTGTCATTATCTACAGGAATGAAGTCCACAAAGCGAATTCCAAATTTCTGATGTCGGCTTTGTTGGTTGGCAATAAACTCTTGTATTGGTTCACTGACATAAAAGGCGATTCAAGCATCATTTCATTATACGAAATCTTGGTGCGATATCAGGCGAGGGTGACCATTCGTTACCCTAAGTTGTCTAATTTTTTTAATATGGAATGGCCACTTCTTCAAGTACTTTTCTGAAAAAAAAAGCGAGTCAACTGTGGAATGGCCACTTCTTCAAGTACTTTTCTGAAAAAAAGCGAGTCAACTGTTCAACATGTCTTTGATCAAGTGGTATCACTATTAACGGCATAGATTCCACCCTAGCCATGACAATATTTTATTCCCAGTCATTGAAAAATTCCATTCTAGACTTCGTATCAATGAGTCCCATGTTTTCATCGCATTCTACATACAAATGTTCACGGATTGGAAAAGGTAACTTGACCGGACTTGGAGCGTTTTATAACATTGACTAAATAATGAATGAAACATATGAGAACAACATTCTTGTTTTGTCGATTTAGGATGAAGTCAATGCAGAGCACATATTTCCATGAACGTCTCTGGCATGCTCCACGGGAAGAGCTATGTAGGGACTTACTCATCACTGTGATCTCACAAGAGCTTATCTTGTTCGTGTCTGATGTTCCCAGGTAACACGGGACTATCCGAGATATCTCTTAGTTATCTTCAGGATCAAGATGCAAAATCCTCCTGCGAGTTGCCAAACTCGATTCTGCTCAGAGACCAAGACTAGGGAGCCAACTGAACTGAGAGACCTCGACCAAGGAGACTTTTTTTATGTTCTGGTTCTCACAAAAAGGGATATCCTGTGATGTGAAGAGAACATCGTGAGAACCAAGGAAAATAATGTAGGAATTGGTGTTCTTCTCAAATTTATGGCATATACCTTTGCGAAGAGATGTTCTGCAGGTCTCCAAAGTGACCACGAAGGGGTGTTAAGCCTCAACTCGACGGGTTAATCTCGCGAGAGCTGCCAAGGAAGCAACAATTCTTGATATTTCAGAAGAGCATCGTCCATGAGAATATCTATGAAATAGAGCCAGATCGCCAACTTTTCTACGGTATTCTAGAGAAGTGAGTGAGTTTGTGAGCGAGACATCAGTATTCCAGGACAGCTAACTCGGCCTCAGCGGCTCTTTTAGCATGTTCACCTAAATGTGGACTTTTTATTTTGACAGTTAGCTCTTCGCATTTGATACAAGTATCAACCTGAGGTCTTCCAAACCGTAGAGAAAAAGTGTCCTCGAAATATTGGGCATAAAATTGATATTTCACATTTAGGTTTGGATATTTAGACTTGAATAGCGAAAACATTGTCTTAATATCTAATCGTGCATCTAGATATTCTATAGTTCGGCCTGAATCATGCGTTTGCTTTCTTGGTAAAGACAAAATGTGATCGTGGATTTCTCTTAGCACTTCGGGAGGTGTTGTGTTTGCCTTTGGATGCTTACCACGCTTATCATGTGGTGTAAGAGACTGTGAATATAAGTTACATAGACGTCTCACCCGTCGTTTACTTATACCATAAATGGAAATAAATGCTTTTTTGCAAACAGCTTGTTTTTCTCTGGGTATATCGATAAAGTACTTGAATGCATACTCACGTGGAACTGAGTCTTCCTTTCGCGGTCTATGTTTCTTTACTGGTGTTTTTTCAATCAACTGTCTTGCTCGTTTTTGGTATTAAAGCCGTTTATTTTTGTTGAGCAAAAGTTGAAATTTTCTACCGAAAATGCTCGAAAGCATTGGTTTTTGCAACTAAAAAAAAAGTCTTACTAACTGGAACATGAATATTTTTTTAAATGACTTACTTGCAATCCGGACCTGTTCTACGTGGTAATATTATATTTCCTCTCCAGTTGGCATGTTGGAGTCCTTTAACTTTCGCATGCTTTATAACATTTCGCTTATAAGTATCAGGATTCTTTTGTTTCTTCTTTAGTGGCTCAGGATTATCACTATCGCTAGAACTAGACATATTTAAATGCCTTTTAATAATAATTTGTGAAACGTTTCGTGTCAAATATCGATACAGACTAACAGTTGCAAAAATGGCAAAGATGGCGAGATGCCATGTCATCGACAGGCGACCCCCTCCACATCTACTCGTTCGGAGCAAGAACTACATAAGTCAACGACTTATGATGTTTTTGCAACGAACATAGAATACGTCCTTGCGTTCATTCTGTAACGTTAAATGGGACTTGCGTCATTTTTATTCAGAACGTCCGTTATCTGATGTAGAGGCGTTTCGTGGTAAAAAGTGAATTTTGAAAAAAAGTTACTTATGTCGTTTTTGAAACGAGCGATTCAATTCATTCAGAGACCCCAATAAGGGTGCCTACTAAAAACAATATCACATTTTTTTTTTAAACCTTCATTCATAAAATATTAATATATACAAAAATATCACATAACGTCCGAGCCCTAAAGCCTGGGTTTATATATAGGTATACAATCTAGCTTATCAACTATATAATAATATGTACATGTATATTTATACTTGAGGCAATTGTGATCACATCATTTTGTATACTAAAAATGAAATATTTTATTTGAAAAGTTATCTATTTGTCCTGATTTTATTTTATTGAATCTATCTGCTCTGAGCATATCAATAAATTCTCCCAATTGTTTTTGTATGTCTAGGTTATAATGTACAACCCCACATATCGCCCAAACCCACACTTCCCTATCCAAATTATTCTCTATATTAATATTGAATAAGTCTTTTGGTTCAGTATACATAGCTGTTTCCTAACTAATTTATGTTTACTCCACTCCCATATATCCCTGGCTGGACCACACGCTGTTAATCTGTGTGAAATGTTATCGGTCACATTACATTTACTGCAATCAGCACTCAAGTTCAATGCATGTGCATTCAGTTTTTCTGCGACCGGAAAAATGTCAGTTATGGCCTTATATGCACTTGAACGCCACCTTGTTGGTGTACCTGTGTTAACTAATATATTTGACCAAATACGACGCCAATTATATTGAGGATGTTTGAGTTGGATTGTCGGGGTTTTAGTTTCCTTTTTCATTATATGTCGATATATAACCTTAGAAGAAGCCAGCTCGTCCTTTGTGAACTCAATCCCAAAATCTCTTATATTCTTGCCAATATTTTTTATATACAGGTGCATATTGTCATAATCATTTTCGAATATTTTAGTTACAAATGATTTGTAAAAGATTTTATTTTCCACTGTTGTCCATGACATCGCTTGTGTTTTAACCCGTTTTTGCCCAAGTATTTGGATTTGTTATGCGCTCTCATGCCCGAGTTTTTCAATATTCAAAATTTTATTTTTAGTTGTTTTTTTTTGTGATGGATAGCTCATAACCGATACCAGATATTGGTAATAGTTCTCCCTATTACCTGCTTTTAAAAAAAAATAATGTTCCAATATTGGAACACCAGGACTGAACGGTAGGGTATCAAAACTAACATAACATTGAGAACAATTCATTCAACAACATGATAATTCTTGAAACATTGCTCATGAAGATTAACGTGACACTTTTGACACATCTTAGTTGTATTTTTTTGACACATTACACATCGGTTCTGTTTGATGGCAGGTACCATCCAGTGGTCGAAACGATCATACCTAATTTCATGATGAACTCTTTGAGCGAGGGGTTTCGAAGTTTTCGGTCTCCCACCAGTTGATGGAGGTTGCCCATATTTGTTCAAGTAAGCATTCGTTATTTCTCGTCTAAATTTGAGAAAATCAATTTTCTCAAAACCCGGTTGGCGCCGGAAGTACTGCCATGCATTATGCATTGTCGAGTCCAAACAAAAAGCAAAAAGTGCCCACCACCACTTCTTTGACCTTATGTTTATCCTATAATTATTGATATTTTGGTCCATGCGGTCCACCCCACCCATGTTTTTGTTATATTGAGAGATAACAAAAGGTTGTGTGACTGGCATTTTCTTTTTCTCAGATTTTATCCATCTATTTACGTCCCTGGTTGGAAATACGGGATCACAAGAACTGACTATTAGAACCGGACGATTATCGTTCCATGAAGTCACGGTAATGTTCGAGATATGGGGCATTTCTCGGTTCGATTTGGATTTATTGTGCCCGTGTATCCACGACCACTTTTCTGTAAATGATTCACCAATTTCAACGAGGAAAAATATCTATCGCCATAAATTTTGAAAGGTACATTGGTGGGAAGTTTCGATAGAAGACTGGTGACCACTGAACCACCCAACCCCAGTTCCATATTGGGACGATTGCTTTGCTTGCCTTGATACAGGTCGAATTGGATAAGGTAACCAGCAGGACTACAAAGAGACCACACTTTGTATCCGTACCGAATAGGCTTGCCCTTTATGAACTGTTTGGCGCTGTGACGCCCGAAGTATGGTACCATGCTTCCATCTATACTCAGGTTCTCATCAAGAAAAGCATGTTTCAAAAACGTAGTGTTCAACATATCACAGAAAGGTCGGACTTTCGCAAATTTATCCCCTTGGGCTAAATTGTCGTTATCAGCACAATGGACAAATTTTTTCAATGTTTCGAATCTGTTACGTCTCATAGCAGAAGCTACCAGAGGATTGTATGTGTCTGTGTCCACTTCCCAAAGCATCCGCCACCTAGGAACTTGAAGATGCCCAGAAACGTACAGAATTGCTATGAAACATTTTATCTCATTTTCGTCAGTGTCAAAATTGTGATCCCCTTTTTGCCTGGCAAAAGTAATGAACATATCTTTCAAATATGTAATCATCTGCCTATCACAAAAAGATTCGAAGCAAGATACAGCATTGGTAAACAATGTTTCTGGCTGTTGCGGAGAGACAAAATTTGGAAACAACTTCACAAGGTCCTTCTTTGACCATTTCCGTTCTAGATCATTAGGAAATTTTTGATTTTCCTTCACTAATTGTGAAAGGGGTATATCATCTTCGGCATCCCATTCATTGTCTTCAACAGCTGCATTCATTTCGTCATCGCCCAAATGCACTGTACCGCCTTGAATATTTCGAATTCTTCCAACAGCTTCTGCTTCTAATTGACGCCCACTAAGATGGTTTATATTAGCTGCTGGCGTCTCTTCATCTTCAGAGTCTTCTTCTGAATCAGCGCCATCATTGGGGGGAGTGATGAAAATATCTGCTTCATAAAAATTTTCATCCTCTACAATATCGATCAAATCTTTGGTAGTCAAATACCTGAAAAAAAACTCCGAATGAATATTTATCTTTATGTGAAATTTACACTAAAAGTGAAAAACTATATGTGTTTTTGATTTTTTTCATACACGATCTTATTTTCTCCGTTTGTGAATATTGATGTTTCAACGTGATTTCATTCTAATGAAGTATCCATGTAAATGAAATCAACCTACCCTAATGTGCCCAGTGTTCCAATATTGGAACACAGCTAAAAACATCCATGTTCACTCGTCAAAAATTATAATCTCCATGATATTTCGCACAAAAAACCTCATATAGATAGCAGAGTGTACAATTCAAGTGTTTATTTGAAGATATTCGATGAAACAAATCATTATGTCACTCACCTTCGGGAAGCCATTTCGTGTGAAATTGTGTAGACACGGATACGAAGACGTGTAACACAGTGCAAGTTGAATTATTCTCAAACATCCATCACAGTTGGTGACCAAGTACATACTGAACACATTAAAGTGCCAAGTGAAGAGACGCACTCGTTTACCGTGAAAGGGAAAGGGAAAAGTCCCGCTGTTCCATTATCGGAACACCAGGAGAATCACAACATCTCCAAAATTGGAACATCGGGAAAAAACGGGTTTTAAGAAACAAAGCTAGTGCCTTTCTATCGACATTGATCAGGTGCAATCCCCCTTTTTCATGCGGAAGATACATCTGATCTCTAGCCACCCTGTATAGACTGCCTTGCCATAAATAATTGCCCGTGAGAAGTGTTATTTTTTGGCTATATTTCTTTGGGAGAGGAATCACCTGTGCCAAATACCAAACTTTAGACAAAACATATGTATTCACAAACCACACTTTTCGAATTAAATCTAAATTTCTCACATAATTCAAGAGTAGAATTAACCTAATATTTTGTATTACCTTCTCCCAGTTTTCATTTACCATATCCCGAAAGTTGCCTGAAATAATTAAGCCTAAGATTTTAATTTCTTTTTTACGGGAAAACTCATTATGGCAGTCTGTTGAATATCTGTCATTCGTCCAAGAGGTAATATTTCGGATTTCTGAACATTTATTCTAGCATTAGCACCCTTTTCATATATCCTAATAATTTTGTTTATATTATCTACATCTCTTTCGTCTTTAACATATATGGTAACATCATCAGCATATGCTGATATCTTTCTTAGACTACCTCCAATTTCGATACCCTTCAGAATGAAGTTAGCTAGTCTTATAAATGGTTCTATAGATATACTGAACAATAACATAGACATTGGACATCCTTGACGGATCGAATTTTTGATGTTGAAGCCACTTGACAGAAACCCGTTCAGTAGTATTTTTGAGCTGGCCCCTCTATATATATTTTTAAAAACGTTAATTATGGTTTACCCTGTCAAAAGCCCTACTGAAATCCAGGGACAATATTGCACCCGCTTGTTGTTTTTCTTTATCGAATTGTAACACTGTGTCCCGCAATAACATCAAATTATTGGAAATTGATTTATTGTTCCCACCTACCTGTTCTGTGCCAATAATATTTGTTATACTTTTTATTCGAGATGCCATTATTTTCATAAACAACTTGTGATCCGTGTTAAGAAGTGTGATTGGTCGAAAATCAGAAAATTCTTTGGCATTTTTAACTTTTGGGACCAGGGTTATGACTGCCTCTGAAAATTCTTTAGGTGGTACTGAGATACCGGAGAGCAGCATGTTAAACATTTTCAATAAATCGTTCCCGAGTTCATCGAAAAAAATTAAGTAGCATTCATAGGAGATTCCATCTAAGCCAGGTGTTTTTTTCTTGGTAGTTTCAGCAAGAACTGCTTTGAGTTCTTCTAAGGTTATTTCTTGTTTTAAAAATATGTTTTCCTGATGTGATACTTTGTTTTTGATGTGTGCCAGCAGACACCTGATGTCCCTGTCATTGACTTGTGAGTCCTGTTGATTATCATCAAACAAATTTGAATAAAAGGTGTTAGCGTATTTAATCATATCTTTCGATTTTGTTAGTGTTTGCCCATTTTCTGTTTTAACGGAAGAAATAACAGATATTCTGTTTTTTCTCTGCTTGATGAGATCATATAGGCTGTATCTTTCATTTATACCTTCTTTATCTTTATTTTTAAACCGCGTATTTAGCTGTTGTTCTTTGAGCTGTAATATGGTGTTTTTAATCTCCCTATATTCATTCATAACGTTTTCGCCCCTATTTAACTTTTCATTTGTTTCAAAAAGCGCCGTTTGATAAAACTCCATCATATTTCTATCCTCCATGGCCTGATCTATTTCGATGGATTTAAAAAAAGTTTTGGTTCTTCGTTTGAAACATCCAAACCACCACGCCATAAAATTATTGTTATATAGTTGATTGCTTTTCAGAGATCTTATTTTTTCTTTGAAATTTGCAATTGTGTCATCGGTTAAAGAAGATCTTTTTACTTTCCAATAACCCCACCCGTGACTTGAGACACTGACTTTATTATTGGGATTCACCTTGATATATACAATGACCGCATTATGGTCAGAAGAGGCCACCGGCTTTATATCACATCGATTAATTAAATGTTTAATTTCCTGCGTTATGTATATTCTATCTATTCTAAATTGTTGTTCTAAAATTATGGTCAGAAAAGGCCACCGGCTTTATTTCACATCGATTGATTAAATGTTTAATTTCCTGCGTTATGTATATTCTATCTATTCTAGAAGCAGTATTTGCTCTAACAAACGTATATTCCATTTTATTTTTTTGAGTTAGGTCCCAAGTGTCTGTTAACCGCAGCCCTTTCACTAGATTCAATAATGGTTTACAGATAGTAGTTCGATTCATTGCTTGACTTTGTTGTACTATAGAATTAAAATCCCCAAGAAGAACCATCGGCAGATTGCAGTTCAAATGCATTGTGATGTCGCTTTGAAAAAATCTATTTCTCTCAATATAATTCTGAGATCCAGATGGTGCATACACATTTACATATCTAATATTGTTGATTGTTGCTCATATAATTCTTCCATCTGTAGAACAGAGCACATCTTTGATATTATAGCCAGTTCTGTAGAGCATTCCTGTTCCTCTTTGCATTTGCCCAACATTACTCAAAAAATTTATCTAAGTATTCTGTATTCAGTTCTTGTACAAAAATCAAGTCGATGTCATTTTTCTTGATGAAATCATATAGAAGTCTTTGTTTTGTCATATTTTTCAGACCATTACAGTTCATAGTAGCTATAGTTTGTATGTGCATCATTTGAATCTGAAAATAAAAAGATAGGATATCAAAGATTACCACTATATGAAAAAACAAAAAAGAACAATAGAATTGCATAACAATCGAAAATTTATCACAAAACTTACATCAATTTGCATTTCACACTCTCAGAAAAACAGATCCTCGCTATCCTTAGAATCTTCACCACGTTCGTGATTCCCAGAAGTATCCATGTTCATCCCCTCGACGTTGGTCAAAATCGTTACAGCTTTTGTCGGAAGTTTAATAGTTAGCTTTGGCACTTTCCTTTCCTCTTCAGAGCTAGTACCCGTTTTTTGTCGCTTCTTCTTCCCCATGTCAGCCGTTTTCTTCATAAATTCCTGCCAACACCCTGGTGTAGGTGGAATTATATCACCATGTGAGTCACTTTCTGCTTCTTCCTCCGAAGAAGTATTCAATTCTAACTCCTTTTCCTCGTTCCGTTCATCTTTCCCTTCTTCTTCTGTTTGGTTCAATACTGTGGACTCATTTATCTGATCTTCCGGTATTTCTAACTGCGACTCTATATTTTCCGGCTGCCTTCCTTCATTATCAGTAACAACTGGAGCACTTGGTCTTCTGATTTCGTGTATTCGATTCAGAGGCGTCAATAGCGTTATAACACTTATACGTTCATTAAAAAAAAGTCAGGATTACCTACGAATCGTTTATTTATCCTTCCATCCACCCGATTATACTTATATTGCATCGAAGCACTTATTCGTTTCGTTAACAAACCAATCGTCATGACCTGGAACATATCATCATCTCTATGAGCTCGAATATCTCTGAAAATCACTTTATGAACTCTTCCCGTTATCATCCAAATACGCAGGTGCGTAATTAAAGATGTAAGCTTCACATTCATTCCATCCAGCAGACGCAGGTTGCAATAGTGATCTATAAGAGTTCTTCGAAAGTTTCTATCCCTCATTCCGGCTGACTGATACCATTGAATTAGCCCTAAATCACAATTTTCCAATATCAATGATCTAATATGATGGAAGAAACCGTTTAATATGAAATTTAAACTAGCGAAATAGATACTCTCCACAAGTATTGACTCAATAGTTCCATCTACTTCAACACGCATAGTGATATATCTATCTGTTGTATCCAGTAATGAAAAATCATGACTATCCAAACAATGCAAAATCTCACCAACCGTTATATCGTTTCCATGTCTTTCATGGACCCAATAGAATCTATTTTCTTCGACACTCACAGAGCGTATTGCTCTGTTTTCCCAATAAGAGAAAGGCGAGGGCGCACGCGTATATCCATCATTGTTTCTAACCCTAAGCAGTCTTCTTAAACAGGAGTCACATGTACCGAGAACAATCCAGCTCTCAGCTGCAACTATCATATCATTGAAAGCCACGTCCTCCTCCTCAACGGTGAGTTGGACGAATAGCTCCAATGTTAATCTCAAGTTTAAACCCCGTAAACCTCTCGCGAAACGTTGTTCCAGGCATGCTAGGAACCGATCTCCCAACACATTTTATATCTCTAGCGACATTTCCGAGGGCTAAACCTCTTCGTCTAGCTCTCAATCTTACATCGTCTACGTTAATCATACGCTCTATGTTTGCTATTGTGATATCATAAGGATGACTAATCCATCTATCATAGACGCCTCTATTTTGATTAATCTTACAAATAATCCCACTGACACTTTTTGCATATAGAAATAAAGTAATTGGCTCATTATAGCTTCCATACACGCTGCGAATTATGTACACAGCGTTCTGCCTAAAGTTACCTAATCTATAACTAGTCGCATTCACATCATCATCAAATACTTTAAGACTTCCGACTCTATTTCAATTATTCGAGCGCTGCCTGACAACTATCTCTTCATTAGCATGCATGCGGAATAATCCGCGTACGAGTACCTCCCCACCATTCATTTCCTCGTGTACGTCTATGTAATCTACATCATTGTTCGTAGGTTTGTGAAGGTCGTATAATATGCGTAGCACATTAAAATCGCCATTTGGTCTAGTGTTTCCAACCATAGTATTCGAATCGTTTTCCACTGGACCAGCTACATTTGCCTGGGCGTTTTCATTATTAACAGCATTAATCACGGTCACAGCAGGGTTTGCGTTTCTGCCTCTAGAAACGCGCCGAGCGATACCGGGAGTAGCACCTCGAGGTAGGCTATACATTTTAACGTGTATGAGAAATTAAACTCACATGAAATCTTTTTAGCAGGAAAGTATGTGATCTTATGGTGGATTTTGGATATATAAATTAATTTGAATAATGAAAAAACGAATGATCTTGAAATAATGTATGTGCATCATTTGAATCTCAAAATAAAAAGATAGGATATCAAAGATTACCACTATATGAAAAAACACAAAAGAACAATAGAATTGCATTACAATCGAAAATTTATCACAAAACTTACATCAATTTGCATTTCACACTCTCAGAAAAACGGATCTCCGCTATCCTTAGAATCTTCACCACGTTCGTGATTCCCAGAAGTATCCATGTTCATCCCGTCGACGTTGGTCAAAATCGTTACAGCTTTTGTCGGAAGTTTAATAATCAGCTTTGGCACTTTCCTCTCCTCTTCAGAGCTAGTACCCATTTTTTGTCGCTTTTTCTTCCTCATCCCAGCCGTAATCTTCATAAATTCCTGCCAACACCCTGGTGTAGGTGGAATTATATCACCATGTGAGTCACTTTCTGCTTCTTCCTCCGAAGAAGTATTCAATTCTATCTCCTTTTCCTCGTTCCGTTCATCTTTCCCTCCTTCTTCTGTTTGGTTCAATACTGTGGACTCATTCATCTGATCTTCCGGTATTTCTAACTGCGACTCTATATTTTCTGGCTGCCTTCCTTCATTATCAGTAACAACTGGAGCACTTGGTCTTCTGATTCCGTGTATTCGATTCAGAGGCCTTTTTGGACACTCTCTTTTTTCATGCCCTGGTTCTTCACAAACTAAACAGGTGCGAACCTGATTGGGATACGTAACCCATGAGGTACACCCTTCGGTCGCCACATACGACGGGATTGGTTTTTTCATGGCTATCCACATTGATCGTATTCCAGTTTCCACATTGAAAAGCCCATCACCAACATATTTTTCATTTCGAATACTTTTCACAATTCCATACTTTGACATCTTCTCCTTGATTGTCTGGTTGTCCATTTCCAGTGGAAAATCGTAAATCTTCACCATTATATCATCAGCATCTTCTGTTATGAAGACATCAAATTCATCTCCTTCCTCTCCTACGTATTTGACTATCCCATCACTAAACTCCTGCAGGATTGCCTGCATCTTCAGGTTTGATACCAACTTGAGGAACACCTTATGCTTAACATGATCAAATTATATTCCTACTATTTGATCTACGTTACACTTCAGAACGTTTTTAATCCACATATGAAGATTTGTGTTCGATGGTTTTTTCCGAACGTTCTTAAAATTTAAAGTCAGCGTATTAACTCGCTTAATCACCATACTGAATCACTCTTATCGCTTGCACTTATCACTCGTCGCACATCTGTATTCAACGGTGTCTAATACAAGACTGGGCCACTCGTTAACCTTGATTAAGCTGAAATTAAGTCCTACACGGACACCAAACAATATAACATAATGAAATAATTACGTCAATAGCGTTATAACACTTATACGTTCATTCCAAATAAGTCAGGATTACCTACGAATCGTTTATTTATTCTTCCATCCACCCGATTATACTCATATTGCATCGAAGCACTTATTCGTTTCGTTAACAAACCAATCGTCATGACCTGGAACATATCATCATCTCTATGAGCTTGAATATCTCTGAAAATCACTTTATGAACTCTTCCCGTTATCATCCAAATACGCAGGTGCGTAATTAAAGATGTAAGCTTTACATTCATTCCATCCAGCAGACGCAGGTTACAATAGTGATCTATAAGAGTTCCTTGAAAGTTTCTATCCCTCATTCCGGCTGACTGATACCATTGAATTAGCCCTGAATCACAATTTTCCAATATCAATGATCTAATATGATGAAAGAAACCGTTTAATATGAAATTTAAACTAGCGAAATAGATACTCTCCACAAGTATTGACTCAATAGTTCCATCTACTTTAACACGCATAGTGATATATCTATCTGTTGTATCCAGTAATAAAAAATCATGACTCCCCAAACAATGCAAAATCTTACCAACCGTTATATCGTTTCCATGTCTTTCATGGACCCGATAGAATCTATTTTCTTCGACACTCACAGAGCGTATTCCTCTGTTTTCCCAATAAGAGAAAGGCGAGGGAGCACGCGTATATCCATCAATGTTTATAACCCTAAGCAGTCTTCTTAAACAGGAGTCACATGTACCGAGAACAATCCAGCTCTCAGCTGCAACTATCATATCATTGAAAGCCACGTCCTCCTCCTCAACGGTGAGTTGGACGAATAGCTCCAATGTTAATCTCAAGTTTAAACCCCGTAAACCCCTCGCGAAACGTTGTTCCAGGCATGCTAGGAACCAATCTCCAACACATTTTATATCTCTAGCGACATTTCCGAGGGCTAAACCTCTTCGTCTAGCTCTCAATCTTACATCGTCTACGTTAATCATACGCTCTATGTTTGCTATTGTGATATCATAAGGATGACCAATCCATCTATCATAGACGCCTCTATTTTGATTAATCTTACAAATAATCCCACTGACACTTTTTGCATATAGAAATAAAGTTATTGGCTCATCATAGCTTCCATACACGCTGCGAATTATGTACACAGCGTTCTGCCTAAAGTTACCTAATCTATAACTAGTCGCATTTACATCATCATCAAATACTTTAAGACTTCCGACTCTATTTCCATTATTCGAGCGCTGCCTGACAACTATCTCTTCATTAGCTTGCATGCGGAATAATCCGCGTACGAGTACCTCCCCACCATTCATTTCCTCGTGTACGTCTATGTAATCTACATCATTGTTCGTAGGTTTGTGAAGATCGTATAATATGCGTAGCACATTAAAATCGCCATTTGGCCTAGTGTTTCCAACCATAGTATTCAAATCGTTTTCCACTGGACCAGCTACATTTGCCTGGGCGTTTTCATTATTAACAGCATTAATCACGGTCACAGCAGGGTTTGCGTTTCTGCCTCTAGAAACGCGCCGAGCGATACCGGGAGTAGCACCTCGAGGTAGGCTATACATTTTAACGTGTATGAGAAATTAAACTGACATGAAATCTATCTACCAGGAAAGTATGTGATCTTATGGTGGATTTTGGAAATATAAATCAATTTGAATAATGAAAAAACGAATGATCTTGAAATAATGTATGTGCATCATTTGAATCTCAAAATAAAAAGATAGGATATCAAAGATTACCACTATATGAAAAAACACAAAAGAACAATAGAATTGCATTACAATCGAAAATTTATCACAAAACTTACATCAATTTGCATTTCACACTCTCAGAAAAACAGATCCTCGCTATCCTTAGAATCTTCACCACGTTCGTGATTCCCAGAAGTATCCATGTTCATCCCGTTGACGTTGGTCAAAATCGTTACAGCTTTTGTCGGAAGTTTAATAGTTAGCTTTGGCACTTTCCTTTCCTCTTCAGAGCTAGTACCCATTTTTTGTCGCTTCTTTTTCCTCATCCCAGCCGTTTTCTTCATAAATTCCTGCCAACACCCTGGTGTAGGTGGAATTATATCACCATGTGAGTCACTTTCTGCTTCTTCCTCCGAAGAAGTATTCATTTCTAACTCCTTTCCCTCGTTCCGTTCATCTTTCCCTTCTTCTTCTGTTTGGTTCAATACTTTGGACTCATTTATCTGATCTTCCGGTATTTCTAACTGCGACTCTATATTTTCCGGCTGCCTTTCTTCATTATCATTAACAACTGGAGCACTTGGTCTTCTGATTTCGTGTATTCGATTCAGAGGCCTTTTTGGACACTCTCTTTTTTCATGCCCTGGTTCTTCACAAACTAAACAGGTGCGAACCTGATTGGGATACGTAACCAATGAGGTACACCCTTCGATCGCCACATACGACGGGATTGGCTTTTTCATGGCTATCCACATTGATCGTATTCCAGTTTCCACATTGAAAAGCCCATCACCAACATATTTTTCATTTCGAATACTTTTCACAATTCCATACTTTGCCATCTTCTCCTTGATTGTCTGGTTGTCCATTTCCAGTGGAAAATCGTAAATCTTCACCATTATATCATCAGCATCTTCTGTTATGAAGACATCAAATTCATCTCCTTCCTCTCCTACGTATTTGACTATCCCATCACTAAACTCCTGCAGGATTGCATGCATCTTCAGGTTTGATACCAACTTGAGGAACTGTTATGCCTTTTAATCTCAGGGGGTGAGTATTAAAAAAAATGGAATAGAATAGAATAGTTTGGTTGATGAATTACCTAAGATCTACTAGGTGTTTTAAATCTTAATTGTATTGACAACAGAAAAAGTGTTTTTAGTGCCCAGTTTGATACCGTAGAAACTAGACACTGGTAGTTCAGCGGGACAAATGGGTGGGTACGTTAGGCACAGTAAAATTCTTAGTTTGATAGGGATGAATTTGCTTTTAATCACAAGTTATTCTGAAATGACAAATAATGTGCTTCAAATGTTACTAGTTGGCTCAATAAGACTCCAAAGTAACTGTGTATCAATATCAATGTTACCTAAGCAGAGTACAATCATTGCAACAACAAGAAATATTAAATTGACTGACTGAAATCAACTCTTCAGATCAGTGTGAAATAATTCAATAACTGCTCAAAATCAACTCTCTGAGACAGTATGATAATATATAACTTATTAAAGAACAAAATAACTCAGTAAATCAGTATCAATGAGACAAAAGAAATAATAAGGCCTATTTTACCGCAGTGCACTTTTGGTTTACAGGGGTATATTTTGTAACTATACTGAGTGTCTATTAAATCAATGACATGTTGCAATTATATTATGTTGAATGAAATTTTAAACTGCTGAATTATGGTTGGTAATAGTTTATCCCAAGTAAAATACTATCCCTGATGGTGCATGGAACGAACTCACCAAATTATGAGCAGGTCCTGATGTACAAGGGGATCAGGTGAAGTCAGCAGCGTCAGGTGAAGTCAGCAGAGTCAGGTGGTGTCTCCTGTATGTCGCCCTTCAGCCACAAATAATAAGGCTCCCAAAGCAGGCGAAAACAGAGCTACCGCACTAGCGCAGATTCCAGTACAGCAGTCCCAGGGAGCTGAAGGGGGCCAAATCTCGAATGCGACGATCGGGAGAGAAGGCTTTAGCCCGATAAAAGGAACCCTATATGGAATGACGACAATCGTGCGTTATTTTGCCAACACAAGGAATAAAAGAAAATAGCAGCTGATAATTTGAAGATCATATAATACCTTGGATGTTGTGTGAGTTCCAGGAGTGGTGGTGCAGGTCGGCTCGGCCACGTGGATTTCAGCCACGAAGAATTCCCCTATAGAGGCAACAGGAATCCCATCCCAGCGATGATAATGGATATCCCAATTTTGAGATCTTTTCCTAATTAATCCCAACACTAAGTAATGGAAAATCGAATGTTAGACAAATTCGAAATTATTCAAGAAACAGATCTCACGCCTTACTTTTGTGACCAGGCTGGTAGACTGCTGCAGACAAAATGGTGCCTATCAGGATCGAAGGGGCTGTCCTTGCCACATCTCACCGGAAGATCACCCTTTTTTGTGTATCTTCCCCTATACTCCCACACACATCAATCACACGGACGATATAAAATTATAGGTGGGAGATATCCGCGCGAACACCCTGTACATGGTATTTCTACCTCACCAGTGTAGTGAAAACTATGTCGATAATATCAAGAGAGGTATCTAGACCATCAGAAAAGAAGGAATATCATTAAATCATCATCTATTTCAAGTCAGAATATATTATTGCCAGTTTTATTGTTTGGAATTGAAACTTCAAATATTCAAACGCAGTCATGCGCAACTGAGGACCATTGTAGACCTGAATAGTGGGGCGAAATACATCATCATCTTCTTTCCGTGCGATGACCCTTCATCACAATGTAACATAACCTATAACGCCCATACTTACAAGGAATTAGTACCAAATCAACGAACAGGTACATAATGGCGAAGATACAGAGTGCCAAATCATCATAACGAGATATGGTGCTGATTGTGAGCCGTTAGAGCCCGTATTCGTGATGATAGCAAGGGAACTATGGGTCAATGTTCCATGATGACAATGTTGAAAATTCGAGAAGATGCATGCAGAGGTTCGCAGATAGTGGTCATCCGTTATTAGTGTCATTACCGTCAATAGAGACTAAACGTCATCAAGCTGACAGTGACATTTTCAATAATTACAATAATTACATAACAATGATATTTATTTGGAAATATGACGGCAACAATAATTACAAGAATGATATACTCGAAATTCAAGATGAAATTTGGCGAAATACCTGTGGACTGAATCAGTCATGTGCGACAATTCCAGGAACCAACTACCTACCTACCATAATTTGTAAACAAAACAGTCTGACCAAGATGTATGCAATAACGATAACTAGTAGGCTAAAAATCACAATATTATTCCTTATTTACAGCAGAAATAGAGTTAGAATCAATAACAACGAACAGAGAAATACCAATCGATAGCCAGTAGTAAACATCACAGATGAATTCAATTATGTACCAATGAAAAAGAGAGTGAAAAGTAGTATTGGACTATGGTTATTGAAACACTATTCAAATTCTAACAATTTATATTCACGATGTGTGCTCTACAAAAGATAAACGATTAATAATCGATATTCTCCAACGACTGTCCTCTTATTCATCATGTAACGTAACCATCTGAGTCATGTCTTACTAATAGAATCAGAAGGTATCGATGTATAGGGTGGTGCGGTGTAATATCCAGTTTCTAACAGTAGGTAAACAATAATGCATAGCTCTGTTTTCTGCAGTATTTTCGTGACGTCATGAACGAAGTGTAACAGAACACATTATGCTTAACATGATCAAATTGTATTCCTACTATTTGATCTACGTTACACTTCAGAACGTTTTCAATCCACATATGAAGATTTGTGTTCGATGGTTTTTTCCGAACGTTCTTAAAATTTAAAGTTAGCGTATTTACTCGCTTAATCACCATACTGAATCACTCTTATCGCTTGCACTTATCACTCGTCGCACGTCTGTACTCAACGGTGTCTAATACAAGACTGGGTCCCTCGTTAACCTTGATTAAGCTGAAATTAAGTCCTACACGGACACCAAACAATATAACATAATGAAATAATTACGTCAATAGCGTTATAACACTTATACGTTCATTCCAAAAAAGTCAGGATTACCTACGAATCGTTCATTTATTCTTCCATCCACCCGATTATACTCATATTGCATCGAAGCACTTATTCGTTTCGTTAACAAACCAATCGTCATGACCTGGAACATATCATCATCTCTATGAGCTTGAATATCTCTGAAAATCACTTTATGAACTCTTCCCGTTATCATCCAGATACGCAGGTGCGTAATTAAAGATGTAAGCTTTACATTCATTCCATCCAGCATACGCAGGTTACAATAGTGATCTATAAGAGTTCTTTGAAAGTTTCTATCCCTCATTCCGGCTGACTGATACCATTGAATTAGCCCTAAATCACAATTTTCCAATATCAATGATCTAATATGATGGAAGAAACCGTTTAATATGAAATTTAAACTAGCGAAATAGATACTCTCCACGAGTATTGACTCAATAGTTCCATCTACTTCAACACGCATAGTGATATATCTATCTGTTGTATCCAGTTATAAGAAATCATGACTCCCCAAACAATGCAAAATCTTACCAACCGTTATATCGTTTCCATGTCTTTCATGGACCCAATAGAATCTATTTTCTTCGACACTCACAGAGCGTATTCCTCTGTTTTCCCAATAAGAGAAAGGCGAGGGCGCACGCGTATATCCATCATTGTTTCTAACCCCAAGCAGTCTTCTTAAACAGGAGTCACATGTACCGAGAACAATCCAGCTCTCAGCTGCAACTATCATATCATTGAAAGCCACGTCCTCCTCCTCAACGGTGAGTTGGACGAATAGCTCCAATGTTAATCTCAAGTTCAAACCCCGTAAACCTCTCGCGAAACGTTGTTCCAGGCATGCTAGGAACCGATCTCCAACACATTTTATATCTCTAGCGACATTTCCGAGGGCTAAACCTCTTCGTCTAGCTCTCAATCTTACATCGTCAACGTTAATCATACGCTCTATGTTTGCTATTGTGATATCATAAGGATGACCAATCCATCTATCATAGACGCCTCTATTTTGATTAATCTTACAAATAATCCCACTGACACTTTTTGCATATAGAAATAAAGTAATTGGCTCATCATAGCTTCCATACACGCTGCGAATTATGTACACAGCGTTCTGCCTAAAGTTACCTAATCTATAACTAGTCGCATTTACATCATCATCAAATACTTTAAGACTTCCAACTCTATTTCCATTATTCGAGCGCTGCCTGAAAACTATCTCTTCATTAGCTTGCATGCGGAATAATCCGCGTACGAGTACCTCCCCACCATTCATTTCCTCGTGTACGTCTATGTAATCTACATCATTGTTCGTAGGTTTGTGAAGGTTGTATAATATGCGTAGCACATTAAAATCGCCATTTGGTCTAGTGTTTCCAACCATAGTATTCAAATCGTTTTCCACTGGACCAGCTACATTTGCCTGGGCGTTTTCATTATTAACAGCATTAATCACGGTCACAGCAGGGTTTGCGTTTCTGCCTCTAGAAACGCGCCGAGCGATACCGGGAGTAGCACCTCGAGGTAGGCTATACATTTTAACGTGTATGAGAAATTAAACTCACATGAAATCTATTTAGCAGGAAAGTATGTGATCTTATGGTGGATTTTGGAAATATAAATTAATTTGAATAATGAAAAAACGAATGATCTTGAAATAATGTATGTGCATCATTTGAATCTCAAAATAAAAAGATAGGATATCAAAGATTACCACTATATGAAAAAACACAAAAGAACAATAGAATTGCATTACAATCGAAAATTTATGACAAAACTTACATCAATTTGCATTTCACACTCTCAGAAAAACGGATCCTCGCTATCCTTAGAATCTTCACCACGTTCGTGATTCCCAGAAGTATCCATGTTCATCTCGTTGACGTTGGTCAAAATCGTTACAGCTTTTGTCGGAAGTTTGATAGTTAGCTTTGGCACTTTCCTTTCCTCTTCAGAGCTAGTACCCGTTTTTTGTCGCTTCTTCTTCCTCATCCCAGCCGTTTTCTTCATAAATTCCTGCCAACACCCCGGTGTAGGTGGAATTATATCACCATGTGAGTCTTTTTCTGCTTCTTCCTCCGAAGAAGTATTCAATTCTAACTCCTTTTCCTCGTTCCGTTCATCTTTCTCTTCTTCTTCTGTTTGGTTCAATACTTTGGACTCATTTATCTGATCTTCCGGTATTTCTAACTGCGACTCTATATTTTCCGGCTGCCTTCCTTCATTATCATCAACAACTGGAGCGCTTGCTCTTCTGATTTCGTGTATTCGAGTCAGAGGCCTTTTTGGACACTCTCTTGTTTCATGCCCTGGTTCTGCACAAACTAAACAGGTGCGAACCTGATTGGGATACGTAACCAATGAGGTACACCCTTCGATCGCCACATACGACGGGATTGTTTTTTTTATGGCTATCCACATTGATCGTATTCCAGTATCCACATGGAAAAGACCATCACCAACATATTTTTCATTTCGAATACTTTTCACAATTCCATACTTTGACATCATCTCCTTGATTGTCTGGTTGTCCATTTCCAGTGGAAAATCGTAAATCTTCACCATTATATCATCAGCATCTTCTGTTATGGAGACATCAAATTCATCTCCTTCCTCTCCTACGTATTTGACTATCCCATCACCAAACTCCTGCAGGATTGCCTGCATCTTCAGGTTTGATACCAACTTGAGGAACACCTTATGCTTAACATGATCAAATTGTATTCCTACTATTTGATCTACGTTACACTTCAGAACGTTTTCAATCCACATATGAAGATTTGTGTTCGATGGTTTTTTCCGAACGTTCTTAAAATTTGGAGTAAGCGTATTTACTCACTTAATCACCATACTGAATCACTCTTATCGCTTGCACTTATCACTCGTCGCACGTCTGTACTCAACGGAGTCTAATACAAGACTGGGCCCCTCGTTAACCTTGATTAAGCTGAAATTAAGTCCTACACGGACACCAAACAATATAACATAATGAAATAATTACGTCAATAGCGTTATAACACTTATACGTTCATTAAAAAAAAATCAGGATTACCTACGAATCGTTTATTTATTTTTCCATCCACCTGATTATACTTATATTGCATCGAAGCACTTATTCGTTTCGTTAACAAACCAATCGTCATGACCTGGAACATATCATCATCTCTATGAGCTTGAATATCTCTGAAAATCTTTTTATGAACTCTTTCCGTTATCATCCAAATACGCAGGTGCGTAATTAGAGATGTAAGCTTTACATTCATTCCATCCAGCAGACGCAGGTTGCAATAGTGATCTATAAGAGTTCTTTGAAAGTTTCTATCCCTCATTCCGGCTGACTGATACCATTGAATTAGCCCTAAATCACAATTTTCCAATATCAATGATCTAATATGATGGAAGAAACCGTTTAATATGAAATTTAAACTAGCGAAATAGATACTCTCCACAAGTATTGACTCAATAGTTCCATCTACTTCAACACGCATAGTGATATATCTATCTGTTGTATCCAGTAATAAAAAATCATGACTCCCCAAACAATGCAAAATCTTACCAACCGTTATATCGTTTCCATGTCTTTCATGGACCCGATAGAATCTATTTTCTTCGACACTCACAGAGCGTATTCCTCTGTTTTCCCAATAAGAGAAAGGCGAAGGCGCACGCGTATATCCATCAATGTTTATAACCCTAAGCAGTCTTCTTAAACAGGAGTCACATTTACCGAGAACAATCCAGCTCTCAGCTGCAACTATCATATCATTGAAAGCCACGTCCTCCTCCTCAACGGTGAGTTGGACGAATAGCTCCAATGTTAATCTCAAGTTTAAACCCCGTAAACCTCTCGCGAAACGTTGTTCCAGGCATGCTAGGAACCAATCTCCAACACATTTTATATCTCTAGCGACATTTCCGAGGGCTAAACCTCTTCGTCTAGCTCTCAATCTTACATCGTCTACGTTAATCATACGCTCTATGTTTGCTATTGTGATATCATAAGGATGACCAATCCATCTATCATAGACGCCTCTATTTTGATTAATCTTACAAATAATCCCACTGACACTTTTTGTATATAGAAATAAAGTAATTGGCTCATCATAGCTTCCATACACGCTGCGAATTATGTACACAGCGTTCTGCCTAAAGTTACCTAATCTATAACTAGTCGCATTTACATCATCATCAAATACTTTAAGACTTCCGACTCTATTTACATTATTCGAGCGCTGCCTGACAACTATCTCTTCATTAGCTTGCATGCGGAATAATCCGCGTACGAGTACCTCCCCACCATTCATTTTCTCGTGTACGTCTATGTAATCTACATCATTGTTCGTAGGTTTGTAAAGGTCGTATAATATGCTTAGCACATTAAAATCGCCATTTGGCCTAGTGTTTCCAACCATAGTATTCAAATCGTTTTCCACTGGACCAGCTACATTTGCCTGGGCGTTTTCATTATTAACAGCATCAATCACGGTCACAGCAGGGTTTGCGTTTCTGCCTCTAGAAACGCGCCGAACGATACCGGGAGTAGCACCTCGAGGTAGGCTAAACATTTTAACGTGTGTGAGAAATTAAACTCACATGAAATCTATTTAGCAGGAAAGTATGTGATCTTATGGTGGATTTTGGAAATATAAATTAATTTGAATAATGAAAAAACGAATGATCTTATAATAATGTATGTGCATCATTTGAATCTCACAATAAAAAGATAGGATATCAGAGATTACCACTATATGAAAGAACACAAAAGAACAATAGAATTGCATTACAATCGAAAATTTATCACAAAACTTACATCAATTTGCATTTCACACTCTCAGAAAAACGGATCCTCGCTATCCTTAGAATCTTCACCACGTTCGTGATTCCCAGAAGTATCCATGTTCATCCAGTCGACGTTGGTCAAAATCGTTACAGCTTTTGTCGGAAGTTTAATAGTTAGCTTTAGCACTTTCCTTTCCTCTTCAGAGCTAGTACCCGTTTTTTGCGCTTCTTCTTCCTCATCCCAGCCGTTTTCTTCATAAATTCCTGCCAACACCCCGGTGTAGGTGGAATTATATCACCATGTGAGTCACTTTCTGCTTCTTCCTCCGAAGAAGTATTCAATTCTAACTCCTCCTCCTACGAATCGGCTATTTATCCTTCCCTCCACCCGATTATACTCATATTGCATCGAAGCACTTATTCGTTTCGTTAACAAACCAATCGTCATGACCTGGAACATATCAACATCTCTATGAGCTCGAATATCTCTGAAAATCACTTTATGAACTCTTTCCGTTATCATATAAATACGCAGGTGCGTAAGTAAAGATGTAAGCTTTACATTCATTCCATCCAGCAGACGCAGGTTACAATAGTGATCTATAAGAGTTCTTTGAAAGTTTCTATCCCTCATTCCGGCTGACTGATACCATTGAATTAGCCCTAAATCACAATTTTCCAATATCAATGATCTAATATGATGAAAGAAACCGTTTAATATGAAATTTAAACTAGCGGAATAGATACTCTCCACAAGTATTGACTCAATAGTTCCATCTACTTCAACACGCATAGTGATATATCTATCTGTTGTATCCAGTAATAAAAAATCATGACTCCCCAAACAATGCAAAATCTTACCAACCGTTATATCGTTTCCATGTCTTTCATGGACCCAATAGAATCTATTTTCTTTGACACTCACAGAGCGTATTCCTCTGTTTTCCCAATAAGAGGAAGGCGAGGGCGCACGCGTATATCCATCATTGTTTCTAACCCTAAGCAGTCTTCTTAAACAGGAGTCACATGTACCGAGAACAATCCAGCTCTCAGCTGCAACTATCATATCATTGAAAGCCACGTCCTCCTCCTCAACGGTGAGTTGGTCGAATAGCTCCAATGTTGATCTCAAGTTTAAACCCCGTAAACCTCTCGCGAAACGTTGTTCCAGGCATGCTAGGAACCGATCTCCAACACATTTTATATCTCTAGCGACATTTCCGAGGGCTAAACCTCTTCGTCTAGCTCTCAATCTTACATCGTCTACGTTAATCATACGCTCTATGTTTGCTATTGTGATATCATAAGGATGACCAATCCATCTATCATAGACGCCTCTATTTTGATTAATCTTACAAATAATCCCACTGACACTTTTTGCATATAGAGATAAAGTAATTGGCTCATCATAGCTTCCATACACGCTGCGAATTATGTACACAGCGTTCTGCCTAGAGTTACCTAATCTATAACTAGTCGCATTTACATCATCATCAAATACTTTAAGACTTCCGACTCTATTTCCATTATTCGAGCGCTGCCTGACAACTATCTCTTCAATAGCTTGCATGCGGAATAATCCGCGTACGAGTACCTCCCCACCAT